GAATTGATTTTCACACCGGCGCGGACTTTGCCTTTTCAGGGATCATGGTCTGATGAGATTTGGCGAATGGTGTCGGCGAACATCCGCGACGGGTGGAGTTGGGAGTCTCTTTGGTTTAGGTTCGCACCCGCACCGCTCGAACCCGAGTCCAGGCAGGCCCAGCGTCCGAGTCTCCGAAGTTCGGGAGCGACGAGGCCGACAGCTGGCCCGGGCGGTCCGCAGACGTGCCAGAGAGCAGAAAAAGCTCAGGTTCTCAAGGGTTGCTCCGTGTGCTGTGCCAAGGTCGGTTGCAGGCTCGCCGACCGTGATGCGCAGCGCGTTCCTGTGCGATTCTGAGTGGCCAAGGATCGTGCTCCCGCATCCGTGGCTCTTCCTCCTCCCCCCACGCGCACTCCCAGCGCTCTGGAGCGGGCGGACGTGGCCAGCATCAGGGTTCCCGCGTGCGGGAGGGCAGGCGCACACCGTGCGCCGCTTCGAGCTCCTGGGCAGGCCCTGGCGACTGGTCTGTGCTGTCGGTGGTCATTGGGGGACGGGGTCGGGGGGCAAAGTGCAGGAGGAAAAGAAACACACAGACACAATTTAATCCTCGATTCCCCAGAGAGTATGGGGAAATATGGGAAGTGGGGGGGAAGACAGAAACCCAGAACATATGGGAAAATATGGGGAATCTGTTGATTTGTGTGTATTTATTTGTGTGTCCTGGGGCCCCTTCAAAAGCGTCGGCGAACTTTCAGATTGGTTGTCCAAGTCTGCCTCAGCCATCCTCTCGTGGTGTCAGGGTGCTCTCCAGCTTGGCGCGCACCTCCTGCGCGCTGTTCGTAGGAGAAGATGTGGAAGTATTTTGAGCAGCCGTTCAGGGCTGCCGATGTGATCCGGCAGGTGAGATCAACTTAGTCTCCTGACAGTTTGTTTGGCTTTCTCTGCCCCAGTCCGTGGAAGGCTTTTGTTTGCCTTTCTCACTCGCTGGTTTGTTGTTCAATTCTTCCGAGGGAGGAACGCGTGCCGGCGGTGGCGAAGGTGGCGCGGCCCTAGCAACGGGTTGCGCCACCCATCCGCACAAAGGCGCGCAGGCAGACTCATGCTTGCGCCAGGCTGTGCCGAGCACGAAGAAGACGAGGAGGAGGAGGAGGAGGACGACAAAGAGGAGTAGGATGAGGAGGATAAGGAGGAGGAGGAGTGCCTTCTCCTCGATGTCTACTCGAATGTGCCCGTGGGGGCCAGGGCGCACTCGGAGGATACTCGGACCGCAGTGGCCTCGCGCGCGCGCTGTCAGACCACGCTGGCAGCCGATCACCGAGCCGAGCGGACCCTCCAAGGGTGGCTGCGGTGCGGGCCTGGCAAGACAGCCGTCCGTCCAGGTCCAGGCAGCGGGCGGCCTCCTTTTAGGACTCCTGCAACTGCATGAGTGTTTGGCGCAGCAGCGGCAGGGCTGGCCAAAAGTGCCTGGGCGAACTCGCTGGCGCAAGCGAGTCTACTGGGGTCCGGCACGCAGCGGCGCTGATGCACGCCGAACTCAGATTGAGTTGACCGCGGAGTTGCACTGTGATGGCAGCGCTCCCCATGATCATGTTTGGAACGGAATTATGCGTGCACCTCCCAGATTTTGACACGACGTTGGGGCTCAAGAGCGAATTACGTGGAAGTTGCTGGGCGTTTCGCTACGCCACCGGAGGTCATTCTCCGTTGGTCATTTTTGTGGTGCCGTGCGAGGGCAGCTATGTTTCAGACTCGCATGGCCACAGACAGCGGCTATATTTTGGTTTCACGTGACTACAATGTGATTTTCGTGGGGGTACTGAGGCTGTGCTCGAGCTCTCTTGCGTCGACTTGTGTTCCGTCGCGTTTCCTTCAGCTTTCCTTTCCTTCTCTGAATGGTTCGTCTGGATACCCTTACGATATCCCAGATCTCATTCGATGCATGTTCATGTCAAGGCGTGGCTTCAGATCGCAAGTAGCCACGCCGCGCGCGCGCCAGGATTACTAGTTCTTGTATCTTGATGTAAAGTTATGTGCACGGCAGAAACCGCCGCCCGATCAGATCATTCTCACGACTGATGATAACCTCGCACCGCTGGGGGATTCTGAATTTCTTCAGAAAGGTTGTTCCCAGTCTTACTGGAAGGGAAGGAAGACCGATCGGGATGATGGGTGAGGGAGGAAGTTGCAGATGATCTGCAACCATTCCCGTGCGAATGCTTCTGAAACACAGCCAGCGCCTGCCAAGGCAGTACCCTGCCTACCTTTGCCCCTGCGCAGGAGGGGGAGAGGAGGACCTCAAGGCTTTGAGACCTTGAAGTCAAAGGCTTCGCAAGGTCCTTCAGCGCCTGCCAGAACTTGCACTGGTCGATCTTCAGTTCTACAAGCTGTGTGGACGAGTTCTCGATCTCGAGTTTCACGCTAGTGGCCTCGCCCTGGTTGCGCTTCAGCTGCTGCGGTTCAGTCATATTCTGGTCCTGCTCGGCTGTGCGCTTGCCCAGTTCCGCCTCGAGCTTCTTCATCTGATCGATATGCTGCGCCTGCGTCTGCAGGAGCTGCTCGAACTTGCCCCTTAACTTCTCCTGGGCTTGGACGATCTTCTGCAAGTTCATCTTCTTCTGCTGGAGCTCTTCGGCGAGCCCCTTAAACTCCATAGTCTTCTGCATATCCTTGCTCTCGACCTTGTCGCCAAGCTTCAGCGCCTGCCCCATCAGCTGCGTCTGCTCGACGACATCCTCGGACTTCCGCGCGGTGCCGCGACCGAGCCACCCAGCCGCACCGATAGTGCCTTGGAAATCGCGTCGTGTAACGTCACGTCCGGATGTGCCACGCCGTTGCGCAGCTTGGACTGCTGGCCCAAACTTTCCGTTTGACATCCATCACGATCTCCTGCGCGACGGCCACGGTCCCGAAGGGCTGTTGCGCGCCGGCTGTGCCCGCCATGGCGCCTTGCGCGGTTTTTTTCGCCGCCGCTGCGACGGTGGCCGTGGAATTCCTGCATCGGCTAGGCCAGCCGAGGCCGCTCCGAGTGCCGCTTGGGCGAATGGCAACGCCTTTGGGGCCTCCAGGAAACCGTCGCGGTCCGACTGACCATCATCACCTGGGCCGCGCGCGCGTGCCCGCCCAAGCCGCCGCTGGCTTCCAGCCAAACGATTTGGAACAACTTGGCTTGAACCACACTTGATTGAGCGTTGGGATCGGAGGAAGTGGGGAACAAGGAGGAGGGGGAGGAGAGGAAGGAGGGTGAGGAAGACGAGGACCAGTGTAAACCCAAGATGCATCAACTATGTTGCAATAGTCTCTGCCTCCAAGCTCCGTCTTCACAGGCCCCCACAATGTTTGTTTTCCTTGCTTGAACTGGTACATTAGAACAAAGCTGTTCGAGAGTCCCGAATTGTGCCAATACACTGGCCCTCAGACTTCAACGCCGCGGACCAGCGTGACTGCTGCGTCCTGACAGTCCTAGTCTGGAGCAAGACACCATTCCTGGGACTCTAACGCTGCGAATTAACATGCCTGTCGCATTCCGAAGATCCTGAATCGTGCCAGAACATCATTCCTGGGATTTCAGCCGTACGAACCCTTGAAGTTGCCGAAGGAAGAGGAATTTTACGATCAAGCAGCAACGTCACTGACCTATGACCTTTCGGGTAACGAGCTCTGAACAACTTCAAGATGAACATGTCACATAATACCTCTTGGATGCGCGGAATGACAAAGAGTCGGCAGAACAGTTTTATGCCTGAAGTGATCCAGACGAGGTTCGTACTTACGTATGGACGGAGGTCGGAGGGTATATAGAATAGTGGAAAGGAGGAACCGGGTGAGTGAGTGACAAGAGGAATCGTCGTGATGTAGGAGGGGGAGAGGAGGAGTAGTATGAGGAGGATAAGGCTGAAAAGGAGGACGACGAGGATTTTGAGGATAATGACGACGACGAGCCTCGCCAGGCCGTGGATACGCCGAAGACGAAGCCAGGCTGCTGCCAGAAAGCCAGCCATTTCGCCCGCGGCTTCGGGGTGGCGACGCCGACCGGCCTCCTCGTGGGGGATGGGGGAGGGGGGACCAGCGGGGAGGAGGGAGGAGGTGGAGGAGGTGGAGGAGGTGGAGGCAGAGGAGGAAGAGGAGGAGGAGGCAGAGGAGGGAGGATGCAGGATGGTGGGAGGAGGAGGCGGTGGAGGAGGACGATCCGCAGCCGCGTCGCATCGGTGGGATTCTCTCCGTGCGATCATCGCGGGGGTGGGGGGACCCAGCAGGTTCTCTGGTCGGCGGGGCTTTCGGAGCGCGATTACGCGAGGGGGTCTCGCTGCGCGAAGGAAGTGGTGCCTCTCTTCGCGATGGGGTGCGCGCTCGCGCGTCGCGCGCGACTGGTCATGTGGCATGCGCGTCGCGCCGTGCACAATGCGCGGTGGCGCAGCTGCGTCGCGTCCGCGCGTCGGCGAGGGTCTGGGAACGCGGTTTCCGCGCGGATGCCTCGCTCCGCAAAAAAGCGCTTCGCCGCGCGAGTTGGCACACGCTCGCGTGCGGGCGGATATCGCGCAGGGGCGCGGCAGGTGCGTCGCGCCCGCGGGGTTCTCACCGTCCGATCATCGCGCGCGCGCGCGGCGGGGGGGGTCGGCGTCACCTGAACATGCTGCTGTAATACCGTGTGCGCGTCCCCCCCCCCACCCCACGGGCGACGCGCGCGCCGAGAAATCTTATAGCATGAGCTTCGTGGCGGGCGCTTTCTGGCCACATCGCTCGGGAATCGATCCACTACGAGATGGCTGTACGAACTGTACGCTTGGGTCGGGCGCGCACCTCTGAGGAGTGCACGCAGTGCGTGCCGGCATGTCTCCGTGCGTCCCTGTGGGCGGGAGGCGCTGATCGCCGAGGCCTCCAGCGCGCGCGATCGCCGAGCTGGGCCTCGCTGCGCGAGGCACCCGGCTCCTCGCTGCGCGGTGGAGCACGCTCTCTTCGCGCGCGGCGGTCTCGCCCGGGCGCGTCGCAGCTGCGTCGCGTCGGCGGGCCTCCTTTTCGAGGAGGGGGCCACGGAACAGCACTCTTCTCAGCTGGGGCCCACCCGCGCGCGCGTTTGGCGCCAGGCGCGGTGGCGCAGCTGCGTCGCTTCGGCTGGTCGGCGGGGGTCTCGGAGCGCGATTCCCACGCGGAGGTCTGGCTCCGCGAGGGAGGTTGCGCTTCGCCACGCGGCATGCCACGCGCTCTCGCCCGCGGGGGCGCCGCAGCTGCGCTGCATCGGCAAGGGTCTCGCTGTGCGATCTGCGAGCGGGGAACACGGGGGGGTATCGCTGCGGAGGATTCCTCATGGGCGGGGGCTGGGGAGCGCGAGCAGCACGCGGGAGTCCCGCTCCGCGAGGAATTGGGGCCCCTCGGAGTTTCCTGGAACTTCTTGGGGCCCACTGGGGCTTCCTGGGGCCTCCTAGGTGAGGCTGCCTGAGGCTTCCTCCTCCTGGGGCTGCCCTGGAGCGTCCTGGGGCGTCCTGGGACTTCCCGGGGCATCTGGCGGCCTCCTAGCGATTCCTTGAGCTTCCTCGGGCCTCCCTCTCGGCACTTCTTGGGGTTTCCATGGCTTTCTGGGCTTGCGGGGCTTCTTGGCGCTTCTTGGGGAGCGTCCTCGGGCACATCTTGGGGCATCCCGTATATAAGGGAGGTTGGGCAAAGGCGAGAGGTAGCGAGCGTTTGTCCGCGACCGTTTGTGTTCAAGCGGGTGGCCGCCAAGATATGACTGTGCCTCACCGCGAAGCACATTATTTGCCATTGAGACCGAATACATGTTCGCTTGATATGGCTCCTCGCTCCCTCGACTCTCTCCTGCTCTTGGGACTATCGGTACTACGGTATAACATAGTTGGATACGGGCTTCGCCTTAGGCGAAGCATCTGGTTGGGCCGCCCGACCAGCTTCAAACTTGGTAGCGGAGCTGACTCTACTCCTCACCATCCACGGCAGTATATGGTGGACTATTGGCATGGTGAAAAATCAGGGTGCAGTGGCTCTGCGAGGAGAAATGTATACATATGTGTATACATATGCATATGAATATGTATAGATTCCTATCTTTATTATCTCACATCAGGAGATCCCTGGGGATGGGCGGCACCCCCCCAATAGAATTCTGGCGGCCCCAGGGGCCCGTGGGGCTCTCTCTGGCCAGTCCCCAGAGGCCCCAGGTGTCCCTTGGGTGTTCTCTGGCCCGCCAGTTGGGCTTCCCAAGACGGTCCAAAGGGCCCGAAATCGCCGAATAATCTGCCCAAGACGCCCCTATGATGACTTGACGACGGCCCAAAAGGCCCCCAATACCGCCCAAGAGGCCTCCGAGAGGCCTCCGCTCGAGGGCCCCACGAGACCCAAATCGTTGATGTGCTTCGAAACGCCTGGACCTGACCAGGTGTTCCGCGGACTGCAGGCATGGGGCAGTGTACATATTTTCTCTTCGCATCAAGACAGGAGGGCACGACAATGTAAGCCACGCGCGCGCAGGCCGATGAAACAGCGGCCGCGCGCGCAGACGGACAGGGAAGGAAGCACGCGGGCAAGCAGCCGTCCAGACCGTTTCGCTGGCACGAGGTCTGTTGCATGTAGATTTGCAGATCCGAGCGCACAGTCAAGACGCCGAGAGAAAGGCCACGTCGGGCTGAGGGGGGGGGGTCCCGGTTTCGGGCCGCTCCTTCGATCCAGGCTGGCGAGCCCCTGCCCCTCCCGTCCCCTGCGCATGCCACTTCCGTCGTCGCCACAACCACGTCATCATCATCGTGGTCGCCGCCATGGTAAACACCCTGTCCACAGGCGCTGCCCCTGACCTTCCCAACCCCCTGTGTCCCACCCGCCAAGAAGGATTCCGACCCCTCCGTCTTCCCCAATTGGGCCCCCGAATCCTGAAGTTGTCCCGAATGCCCCGCAATTACCACACCTGTCAAGAACGGAATCGTCATCACTAACGTAGCACCCATCCCCTGCGAGCCTCCCTTCTCCACAACTCGCCCCCCCATCACCTTCCCAACCCTTGAACCCCGCACATGCGTCAGGCTTTCCCGCCCCCTGTGCACCCCACTTCCGTCGTCGCCACAACCATGTCATCACCGTCGTAGTCCTATGTGCGCCCCCTACACTCCGTCATCATCTCAGTTGCCATTAACCGTGACCTTCCCAACCCAAGTCTGCAGAGGTATGAGGCCACCATCGTTGCCAGCACCCTTTTTCGTTGTATTCACCTCATCCGAAGGCCCAATTTTCCTTCCCTTGCCATCGGCGTTGCATCCCCGCCGAATCTTATCGCCGACGACCGTCGCGCGCGTCGCCCCTTACCAACTCGGCGCGCGCGGCGCGCGCGCACTCCATGGGCCGACGCCCGTGCGCCCGTGACCTTCCCATCCCCGTCCTTGCCCATCGCCGACGCTTCAATCCGCATAGTCGCACCTCACTCGCACGCTGCGCGCCAGCGCGTCGTGCCAAGACCTCCAAGCGAAGCGCAGCGAGCTTCAAGTCTTGTGTGTATATATATATATACACATACATACATACATATATGTATACACATATTTATGTATGCGCAATCGCAAAGACACTTGCAGTGCTGCCTCTGCTCACGCGGAGGCCTCCTACTTGAATCCTACCTCTCTGCGCTGCTACACTCCTGAAGTCCACGCACCTACTCCACTTGGTAGTTTCTTCGAAGATACTATGCACGGCAACGTGCGATACGATATTGCGCTGCCTCCACCCCCGCGCCAGCCGACGGCAACGTCGCCGCATAAGCAACGGCAACATGCAACCGACTACGGCCTACGGGGCCCTTGGATTGGCATTATTTTATTTGGCCGTCTATGGGTCGCTATTGGATGCGATGGACGTTGGACATGCGCAGCGTGGCGGAGACGACGCGCGCACTACCGGCCCCCACTGGGGCCCTGCCGAGAATGCACCTTTCCGCGGCTTCGCTCGCGAGGTGCATGCCTGGATCAACGTGACCACAGGCGCTATGACTCTCTCCCAACAGGCTGCCGCTCTACAGCGTGGTTTGGGAGGGCTCGCAAGGATCACCGCCGTGAGAGCCCCCCCCGCAGTAATCCATTTCGGTGTTATTATTGGTGGTCGCCACACCGACGGCGCCACCTACATCAGGTTCCTCTTCAGCACTGAGTTTGAAAACCTGGGCGAAGAACGCCAACTCATCTCGGGAACGGCTCTCGTGGACTTTCGCGTCCACGCTGGAGAACGGATCGGCCAGACGTTGACCCGCTTCGAGATAGCGCGTTTCGGAGCCGACACCGCGGGTTTCAACATCCCAATCTTCCAGGTCCTGACAGTTATAGTGTTCAGAGCCCTAGGTGTTGGCGCATCGCGCGCACAGCAACTACTACAACCATTGAGCCACCAAACGCCAGGGACTCAGCAGCAGCTTGACGCCTTACTAGAGCGCACGAGGGCTCACGCCCATATTGCCGAGCGAACCCCTGGCAACATTGGTGTATTCAGTCGTGGCCACCGCGCTGATGTCTTTCATAGCGACACTCATGCGTGGCAGCCTGCCAGCAACGTCCGAAATGACGATCCACGACCAAACGAGGCCACCACACTTAAGTCAAGAAGGTGGCCAGCCCACGGGGTCGCAAGACTATTGGGCTCGATATCATGGGCCGTCGACAACGGCGGCCCCTGCCCAAACCATTGCACTCGTGGGCTCGGCGGGGCAGCGCGCGGAATCCGAATTTGATGTTGGCACCGGCACTGACACCTCATCAGATGAGGAAAGTGGTAACTTGGATTACTCCGACATGCCTGCCCATCTCACTGAAGAGCAGCCAGCGCAGTGGCTATTCCTTGGATGCCAGAAGCACAAGCGTCGATGGAAACGTTATGAAGACACCAATTCGAAAGGTGCGACGTGCAGTCCGACGGGGTAAGGGTAGAGGTGTGGGCAAACAACGGAGATTACTACATGGTAGAGGTATATTAACAGTCTTGGCATCCCTTACGGGGCCACAGTATGAAGAAATCTCCCTGGGAAGGGTAGAGGCCGTAGGCGCACCTCGGGACACGGTGAGGGACGTCGGGGTAACCCGAAGGCTGCCAACGGGAAAACCATGGAATGTGATATCTGCCAAAGTACCCAGCATGTTCTTCGTGAGTACCCCCGAGGCGATGGGGGAGGCAGGGGTCCGTCGATGCATCTGACTCAGACCGATTCCGCCATGCAGTGCGTCGATCGGGGGACTTTTGCCGAACCAGAAACCAACCCCGCAGCCGTCGTCCATTTCATGACCGCGAGGTATCTCAGCGCCAGCGTGTCCCTCGAGAGGTATGCCGACGAGCTCTTCGAGGAAATCTACGTTGGCCACGATGATCGATCTTGCAGACTCAGACTGGCTCGGCATTCCCATCGCGGTGCAACCTGCGCAGATAGAGTTCATCGAGGACTGCCGCGTGCCTGCCGACTCGGATCACGAGATGGCGGGGGCACTTGCGCACCCCGATAGTTACGAGCCGGATAATTTTGACGATGATGCGATGCCGGCCACGGAGGGGAGCTCCAGCTGGCGCTCCGACCGCAGGTGATTGGGAAACCCGCGCGCAGGGGAACCTGCGACGACAATCCGCTGCGGGGCAGCCCGCGTGACGCTGGCGACCTTTCTGAGCGTATTCAACATGAACTCAGACACAATGAAGGCTCTCACTTCAGTTTTGTGCTACGCGACCGGTCTTCGAGTCGCTCGGTTTGGAGACGCGTGCATCGTGCTCGCAATGATGATGAAGATTGGGCAGCCGAGAGCCATGCCGCCATGCCGCCGTCGGCGGGGTCATTCGCGCAGGCGCTCGCGCGCCCGTTCAAGGGGCGCGCCGCGTCCTCGTTCGCGCGATCCGAGAGAATCGCTTTGAGGGGAACGCTCGCGGGGAAACCCGCGCCGGGATGACGAAATCCGAGGTGCGCCCGATGGCCCGCGTCGGTTCGGACTTGTCAGCGAACAGAACGACGAGCTTGCTCGCCACCACGTGCCAGCCTACCACATGAATTATTGGCTGGAACAGGGTTGCACCGAGCACCAAATCCGCCACTGGTGGCCATCGAATAATGTGAAGCGGGATGAACACACGGGGAACATTATCCGCACCAACAGAAGAGGCGGCACCCTGACCGTTGCAACGCGTGGAAGGAAAGGCTCAAAAGAGCCATCATTACGGATCGGAAGGAATGTCGAAAAGAGGTCTGTGGATGCGAACATTTTGCAGACCGCGGGCCGAATTGCCCGATGGGGCGCCCT